GGCCAGCCTCTTCTCCATGGTGCCCAGCAACAGGACCAGAGGCAACGGGCAGAAACTGGACCACAGGAAGTTCCACCTAAACCTGAGAAAAAACTTCTTCCCTGTGAGGGTGACAGAGCACTGGACCAGGTTGCCCCGAGAGGTGGTGGAGTCTCCTTCGCTGGAGATATTCAAAACCCGTCTGGATTTGATCCTGGGCAATGTGCTCTGGAGGAGCCTGCTTGAGCAGGGAGGTTGGACTAGATGATCTCCAGAGGTCCCTTCCAACCTAAACGATTCTGTGATTCTGTGATATGATATCCTATTATATAAGTTATATATATATATGTATTATAACTACGTTTCCTGATTAGCAGAGAAGTTACTTCTTGGTAGCTGTCTATCATTAACTGGGTGGAATGATATTTTTTCTGTAATGTATGCCCTTTACTGTTTTTATTGCATCTTTGTCATACAAAATAAGCTTTATAAGCACAAAAATATGTGTGAATTGTCTTGTTACCTCTTTAAATGTTTATGTTATGATTTTGAGGTGTATCTGTTCCTGTTTCTGTTCAAGGCTACTAACACTTTGTCCTATTCTTTTTCTCTGTGTATTGATTACAGAGCAAAGACAGTGAATTTGAAAAATATGAAAGAGGTGGAATATAAATACAAAACAGAAGATAACTGTGTAAGTATAATTCTCTTTTTTTTTGGTAATAATTCAGTTTTGTTTATCTTCTGTTCCTGGCTACAAGATTATAATCTGTGTCTTAAAGGAACATTTTTGTGAAATGACCACTTCAGATCTAAAGCCAATGTGAAATAGTAAATAGAGAAGTAGTTTGGGATTCAGGAAATTGGAATCTTTTTCTGGTCCTTTTTTCTGGTCCTGCTGCTGGTCCTCAAAGTGAAGTTAGGCGAGTCCTCTTACCTCTGTTTGTCTCAGTTTATTTATTACTTTTCTGTTTGGAATTGTTTTTTAAAAAAGGAGTTTCCTAAATCCAGTCAGTCTGGGAAAATCTCCTGGCAGCAAAGGCCATCTACGCAGACAATAGCTGTCTCTGTATTGCTCTCAGATGTCCTCACTTCCTGCAAGTCCTTTGACGTGCTCAGCACACACAATCTCTTTTGAGATAGTGTGATTTGGATAGCAGTCTGAAGTCATGGCAGACCACTTCACAGATCTTCTCCCCACTCATCAGATAAGGGTACTCGCAAATACTCATGGAAAATGGATGCAAGTCTCTTTCCTGATGATTAAGGTTTTTACATTTGACCTTCGTACAAACTTTAACTTATCAGTCAGGGTTTTAAGATTATTTTGTTTATTTTCATTGCAATTGTCACCAAATTTCTTGTGGGCTGGTTTGTGATAAGAAGAGAAAGGTAACGACCCAGAGAGGTGAACTCCCTTGTCCAAAATCAAACGGTAGGTCAGCAGCCAGGAGAGAAGGACAACCACTTGTCTTTTCAGTACAGAGTCCTAGTCACAATGACACCCTGCCTTCTCTGCTGTGGTGGTTTCTACTATGTCTGCTTTTCTCTTCAAGTACTTACTAAGTATCTCGTATACCAGTGAGCGATATACTCAGCAGTTATTACCTCACTGTTTAGAAGCTCCCTTCCAAAGAATTTATTTTTCTGGCAAATGTTTTCAGACAGAGCTATCTTAGGCTCAAAATCTAAACTTGGCTCAGGAGGGTTTACTGCTCTGGCATGCTGAAAAATTCTACAAAGTAAAACGTACGTGAGAAGGAGAGGACTCTAAAACGAACACTGTTGCTGAGCCTGACCCAACTGTCAATTGATATATCACTTTTCTTTATTAAAAAAAGTTGGACTAACTTTGTCAAAGATGTATAAATCAAAATTTGATTTACGTGTTTCCTTTTCATATCAATTTGTAAAATATTTGTACAAATCCATATGCATTTCTTCTTTAAAGCTAAATTCTCCCCTACTTTTTTTCCTTAATCACATTAATCACTAAGATTAATGCCAGTCACTGTGTAAAATAAAAAAATGTTATTCCCCCAGTGTCTGCAGACATTAATTTGTTATAACATTTTTTTTGGCAAGCCAATTGCTCAAGAGCTTATTACATACACACACAAAAAAAGGAAAATAGTTTTAAGATTTAGAAAAAAGTGCCGTTAATTTAATTTAGAGTCACTGGGTTGCAGCAGTAATTTAGCAGTAAATATATGAATGTTAGAGTGATCCAAGTCCCCTGGTAAATAGCAGCTCAGACATAAACAACAGGACATTTTAAACATGAAAATATGCAAGTTTAATGATTTACCCTGCTATTAAGGTCTGTGGATTTATGGAGATTATTTCATCAATAGGAAAAGAGACACTTTAATGTGGAAAAAATCAAGACAATACTTAGAAACTTATGTGAAACACATTGCATCACAGACATTCACTGAACCGAATTCTTACTGAAGCGCAGATAATGCTGTGTAGTGTGCATAGGGCAATCGCTAGTATCCTTCTAAGTGCAATAATGAGTTGGCCACTTCAGATAATTTTCTTTCATTCTTTGCAAGGATGCATCAGAAAGGAGCTCATTTTCCTCAGAACACTCTAGATAAAGTTTGGAAATGTTTTACAAAAGGCACTAGAACTGAACTAGAGCTAGGAATAACTGCAAGTCTGGCACGGTTTTCCTTGCCCGTCCCACAAAAAAGATTATACACAAGCCTTCCATGTGCTTGTTCTGGCCTAATGATTTGAGCCTTTCAAGAGTTTTGCCTTGTATTTTTGGAAGACTATTAGCTTGCTGATCATCATAGGCTTTGGTCTTTGCATGTCTATCTTCCTTTTGCTTAGTTTTCTTCTTTCACTTTGCCGTTTCTGGTATGTCACCAAAGTACCTACTTCTCTCAATATCAAGCAGTGTATAGTATTGTTTTTAAAGGAGTCTGCAGGACTGCCTTTCCATTCAAGCATGCATTGTCCTCTGATTTTCCCTTGTTTTAGAGGTTTCTTTCATATAATCTTAGCTATTCTAATGGAGAGTTAGGCTTTGCCACTTGACTGACCGAGGTATGTTGGTGATGTGATATTTACCATAATCGCGTTCCTAGGTAAATTGCTCAAAATCACTATACATAATCTGGGGTTCATTGCCTAAGTTTTGGATGTTTGAGATGTTTCATTAGTCTGTTTGATGGTTGCTGCGGTGGTGTCTGAGAGGTCGTCTGGTTCCCAGAAGTCTGAATAGTAGTCTACAATAAGGAGATAGTTTGTGTGGTTTGTGGTAAAGATTTCCATTCCTGTTTTGCTTCAAGATCTGTTGGGAAAGCTGTGTATCTTCAGTGCAATCCCCTACTTTTCTTGAACTACTTGAAAAATTATCTCTGTATCAGCTCCAGTTACTCCTTGTGTTTGAATATGAGCTTGTTAAGTAGCTTCATGTATCTCCGGATTTTGTTAGGATGAATAGAGGATTTTGGGCTTCTATTTTCTTGTGAGTTCTTGCTTTTTGCTGTCTGTTACTAGTTTGTCACAAGTAGTTCTTATACTTGTATAAATCAGATTTTTTTTTTTTTTTGGTAGCAGGTGCATGCCTTCGTTATCCAGACCCTTTTTTACACCTGGTGATAAGATACCTTATTATATAAAACAGCTCTGTGGGTTGAAATCCTCTGGAGTACTTCTAGGGACTAGGCCCTCATGATACATTGCTAACGTATTGAGATGTTTTTAGCTGTGTGAGAGTATTTTTCCATTAAAATTAGTTGAATGATGTCTCTTATTCTATTCGCATTTTTCAAAGGTGGGCAATTTTTACATGAGACTATTGAAACTGAGGCTCTCTGATACTATGTATGTTTTGCATATTGAAATAAGCAGTGAGAATCATCACTGTGCAATGTTCACGTTGTGCATTCAAGGATCCTTTTTCCCTCATCTGAAAGCAGAATTTTCTGAATTTCCATATGTAGTCGAGAGAGCCTCAGAATCCATAAAGGATATGCCTGAAGCAAATTAATGCTATTAAATCGTTGGCAACAGGAGCTAATTAGTTGTGTTATTATGCCTCTTTAAGAATGTCTAGTTGCATATCTGTTAGGTAGAAAATGCTATTGAAAACACTAGAAACTTTTACAGGACAGCTTATCTTGCTTATTCCTGTTTTACAGCATTAGATGCATAAAAGCTTAATACAGTTATTTATCAGAATGTAAATAAATAACATTGTAAGTACGTGTAAAGTGTTTTGTAGGTCTGCCTTGTATATGAGAGAAAAAGTGCTTGTTTTGTGGGAAATGCTGCCTACTGCTAGTTGGGTGTTTCTGACCTCTATCAGTTTTCCTTCAGAATTTGTTCTGGTGTGTGAATCTGTGCAGTGAACTACAGTTTCGTGAGGATATTTGGTGAATTGAATAAAATGTATTCCAGGAAGTGCAAATGTAGGATCCAAGGTTGCTGATGGTTCTTCTGTGAATTACTTATTGTGCTGGTTATAGAAATATGTTAGCAAAGCCTTACATGTATCATTCAGGTTTGGTCTAGATTCATTTTGTATAAGTTAGACCATCAAGAGTTTGCTTGTGCTGAAGGTTTTGGTGAGGTAAGAGCG